ATTTTATTTATTTATTTATTTATTTATTTTTGGGACAGAGAGAGACAGAGCATGAATGGGGGAGGGGCAGAGAGAGAGGGAGACACAGAATCGGAAACAGGCTCCAGGCTCCGAGCCATCAGCCCAGAGCCCGACGCGGGGCTCGAACTCACGGACCGCGAGATCGTGACCTGGCTGAAGTCGGACGCTCAACCGACTGCGCCACCCAGGCGCCCCCCCAAGTTTTTATTTTAAATAAACATTTGAAAAGCGATCCACAAAACGGTTTTGTTTGATGACTGTATCTCAAATGTCTTCCTTCTCCCATGTACACCCTATCATATTTCAACCATTTATTTTTCTTCTGGCACTTTTCATAATTTAAAATTATCTCGTGTGTATATAAATATTCTATGTTCATTATTTATGTAAATAATATTGTATAAATAATTGATATATATTATTTACATATATAATCATATATTAATCATTTAGATAAAATCAAGGTCTTAATGGCTTGGACATCAGATACTTAAAATGATAGAGGTACATATAATTAGTTAGTCATAAGTTCATTTGGTTCAGGTATAGAAGTTCTTACCGAAGCCCGGAATAACGGTTTAATTATTGTAGGTCTAACAATTTTGGGGATGGTCTAACAGTTTTATGGGGACTTTAAATAATATTTTCCATTTTACTTTCCATTATCCTTTATCTCTGATATAACAGTTCTTTCTCCATCCATAATTTACTTATGTGGCACATTTTATAGAACGCCCACCCTACACCAGCTCCTAGGGATACAAAAATGAACAAGCTCCTCGTCCTGTAGAAGCTGACTGTCTTACGAAGAGAGTGAAATGGGCCAGGATGGTCCAGGTTCTGAGTGACGTGATGAGAGTCAATCCCAGGAGCAATGGTAGGGATAGCCAGCCCACAGTTAGGGTTTCAAGCAAGAGACTTCTAAGTTGAGACCAAAGAAGTAAGGATTAGCAGTTGGCGGAGCTCATAGCGTGTGAGGAGGTGTGAAATGGGGGGGAAGCTTGGGGGGAAGAGAGAAAAGGGGTTCCAGGTAGAGGAAGTACCATATTGAGAGGGTCTGGAGCACTCCAGAGAAATGGGCATAGCTTTTAATGGGAGGAGTGTGGATTTTTGAAGTAGAGATTGGGGCAAAATGTAGCTGGGAATATGGGCAGGACCCAAGATAGGAGGGAGTTTACAATGTGATTGCTGTGTCTGGAAGACAGAGGAAATCCCTGGAGGGTTGAAAACAGAGGTAGGACATGGCTGAACTTAGGGTACATGGGTGATTTGACATGCGTTAAGAATAGTCATCCATTCTACACTGGCTTCTCTGATTCGAAAGTTGAAATAGGGTCGGGAGTGGGCGTGGCCTAGAGCAAAGCCATCCCTATTTTTAAAAGATCCCTTTGAAGTTCACAACTTCATGGCAAAACGAATGGCTTCAGTAACACCTTATAAAGTCAGAGCTGAGTCAAAAGATATTTCCATCCTCCATCACACCTTCATATTTTTGTTCTTTCCTCCGCCTCACTTTCCCATCCTAGAACAACAAGGTCACACTTTTCCGCCAGCTGCAGCAGATGACCTATAGCCTGATTGAGTGGCGGTCCCAGATCCTGTCTGGAACGCTTCCCAAGGATGAACTGGCAGAGCTCAAGAAGAAGGTCACAGCCAAAATTGATCACGGGAACAGGTAAACGAGGAATGAGTTCGCTGAGGACTTGGAAAGAGATGGGCGCATTCATGCTAAGGCCATACCTTGCCATCAGCTTTTGATCTCGGAGTTGTCGAAGAATAATGCTTCCTGCCCTCTTTTTCGCGTTGGAAGGCATTTAATTTTGTTGGAAAAATTTGGCAGTCCCTTCTTAGGCCAGACCCTGCGCTTGGATGTGTGTCAGGGAGATGACAGATGATCAGGGAAGAGGAGACTTCCCTGCCAAACAGACGGAAAGAGACAGCACATCGGAAGTCACATTTTCTGAGGCCTGGGACCGTATCAACTTTTATTCGAACAGTGGATTTTAAATCTGCATCAGATTCATTCTCTTTCTCCCCATGCTCCCTAACTGGGACTGTTGTTTGCAGTGTATGAAAACCAAATTTACAAGAAGAGTAAACCATATTTTTAGCCTGTTGATTAGGTCTCCAGTAACCTCCAAAGAGTTTATCACTTCATTAATCTTCCGATTAGCTCAGGCAGATACATAGGTTCCAGACATTACCGACCTTATGAAAGTGAGAAAGCCGCCAATTCGTGAGTTCATGTGGGCTGGGGTTCATTCTCCCGACCAGCTCCTTTTACAAGACAGGGGTGGTTCCTTCATTAGTTTTGTTGATGATCTCTTTGCCTTTTAGTTTCATTTTCTACATTTCTTCAACTTGTGCATACATGATTTTTCTCCCCTCCCCTCTTACCCTACTTCTCCAACCTCAGGACTCTTGGATCTACTTCTGAGACCTGTTAAAATACAGCTCATTATCCTATTTACTTAACTGTTATAGGCTCAGACAGCTGTATTCAGAAATAGCTGGGGTCAACAGAGCATACAGGATTCAGGTTCAATCATTATTTGAAATCTGCTGTGTACCCTTCACATATATTACTTGATTCTAGCCCATTTTATGGTTAAAAAAAAAAAAATAGACCAAATGAGCTTAAGTGATTTACTTCCAAGTTACATCGGTCATAAGTGGGAAAGGCTAAATTTGAGCCCCAAACACATGATTCCATGTTTAAAAAAAATTTTTTTTAACGTTTATTTATTTTTGAGACAGAGAGAGACAGAGCATGAATGGGAGAGGGTCAGAGAGAGAGGGAGACACAGAATCCGAAACAGGCTCCAGGCTCTGAGCGGTCAGCACAGAGCCCGACGCGGGGCTTAAACTCACAGACCGCGAGATCATGACCTGAGCTGAAGTCGGACACTTAACCGACTGAGCCACCCAGGCGCCCCACGATTCCATGTTTAAAGCTCCCTCCTTAGGGTTAAGAACGCACTGCTCTCTCGTCACTTGTCCATTCGCAGGACTGTAACCACAGGGGTTGTATTGCTAGTCACGTGCTGGGGGCATTTTTTCAAAAACAGCTATGGTGGGATAAGTCGGGTCCCTCCTTGCGCCTCTGCTGCCTCTGTATTTTTGAGTCTTGTGTGACTTGGGCCTAGAAGACTCTGATCATCAGCGTAGAATGTTAATGTCCCACAAACAGTTGAACATGCCTGCCTTCCCATTCCAGCCTTGAGTAGCAGTTCAAGAGATCAAGCCGCTTCGTCAGTGCCTCAGTGCTCAGTCTCTGAGCAGCTACCAAGACCCATGGCTCATGCATCTGGGTGGCCTGTGGGTCTGGCTGCCGTGGGAAGGAACCTGCCAGATTCAATCAGTTGATGGAGATGCTGTAAAACAGGGAGGAGGGTAATTAGACATGTTTGCTTTCTTCCCAAAGACTTGGCACATCTCACGGTGATCCCTCAGCTCTCTTGCTCTTTGAACATCCCTTCTCCCAAATTGCTGGTGCCTGGAATGTTCACCGGGCATTCGGATAGCAGGATCTTGTTTCCACCACAGTCCCCAGCGTCTTGGAGCTGAGCAAAATGTTTCCTACTCCTGTGTGCCCATCGGGCGTAAGAGCCTTGGTAGGGATCGTGCCGTGCGCAGACCGCACGGCTCTTAACGTTTTCTGTATAACACGCAGAGCTACAACTTAACATAGCCAGGCGTGTTTTTGTGGCGGTTGCTGTAGAAGAGCTGCTATTTGCCAGAAGTGCGCCAGAGTTTGCTAGAAGTATATCTGGTATGTAACTAGACATACCGTGTTACATGCTTTCCATGTTATCTCATTAAATTCTCCCCAACGATACTGAAGGGTGGGCAGTATTTAGAGACGAGGAAGGCAGGGCTTCACAAAAGTAAGTAAGTTACCTGGAGTCATCTATTAAAGCCGAGACTCCAATCCTCATCTAAGTGACGTCGGAGCCCGTGCTCAGAGATAGGTTATGAGATTCCAGCAGCCGAGACCTACTTCATTGATCTCCTTTAAGACAGTCTTTTTTTGTTGTTGTTTTTTTTAATCTTTATTTTGGAGAGAGAGAGAAAGAGAGAGCGCAAGCAGGGGAGGAACAGAGAGAGAAGGAGACACAGAATATGAAGCAGGATCCAGGCTCTGAGCTGTCAGCACAGAGCCCGATGTGAGGGAGGCTTGAACTCGTGAACTGTGAGATCATGACCTGAGCCAAAGTCGGACACTTAACCTGACTGAGCCACCCAGGCACCCCAAGACAAGTCTTGAATTAAGGATTGTCCTCAACACTGAACTTTTTTTTTTTTTTTAATGTTTTATTTTTAAGAGAGAGAGAGCGACAGAGCTTGAGCGGGGGAGGGGCAGAGAGGGAGGAGGAGACACAATTGGAAGCAGACTCCAGGCTCTGAACAGTCAGCACAAAGCCCTATGCAGGGCTCAAACCCACGAACTGAGAGATCATGGCCTGAGCTGAAGTCGGATGCTGAACCTGAGCCACCCAGGGGCCCCTCAACACTAAACTTTTAGGGAAATCCGGCAAAGCCCCCAGATATTTGTGCATCGGTCCATCATTGTTCCTGTGCCAAACAATAGGAGATTAGGGAAAGAGACATTGGTCAGAGGGATCTGGTCAAAATCAGTGCCACTGTTGCTTTTCCTTTTGAGGTTCCGTGGAACAAATTACTTTGCGTATCATTCTGTGAGTTTCGTTAACATTACCATAAGCGTTCTATCTCTTGTTACGTGGAGAGGAGGCAGAAATTGAAAGGCGAAAAGCCAAGGGAGCGGTTCTTGTCTTGGTACCACCCAAACTTTCTAACTGTCAGTCCTCTGGGTTCTTTCCTGGGCTCTTCAGGAACGAGTCTGTTCTGAATGAGGAGAACCCACTGATCACTCCTTTCTTTCCAGAATGCTGGGATTAGATCTGGTGGTGAGAGATGACAACGGGAACATCTTGGACCCAGATGAAACCAGCACCATCGCCCTCTTCAGGGCCCATGAAGTGGCCTCAAAAAGGATCGAGGAAAAGATCCAAGAAGAAAAGGTACACGTCCTCCGACGTGCAGATGAGGTTTCATTTTTGCTTTTTGTCTTTGATGAAAGGGAGTCATTGACAACAAGAGGTAGAAGCGTTTAGAAACTCATCCATTGCCGCGTTTGAAAAGCAAAAGAGGACAAAAAGAGTGAGTCAGGGGTATACCTTCTGATATGGAAAGATCACAAAGATCTACATTAACAGACAAAGAGCAAGATGGAGAACAAGGTGTACAATATATTCATCTTTGTGTTTCAAAAAGGGATACACAGGGGCGCCTGGGTGGCGCAGTCGGTTGAGCGTCCGGCTTCAGCCAGGTCACGATCTCGCGGTCCGTGAGTTCGAGCCCCTCGTCGGGCTCTGGGCTGATGGCTCAGAGCCTGGAGCCTGTTTCCGATTCTGTGTCTCCCTCTCTCTCTGCCCCTCCCCCATTCATGCTCTATCTCTCTCTGTCCCAAAAATAAATAAACGTTGAAAAAAAAAATTAAAAAAAAAAAAAAAAACAAAAAGGGATACACATACCACAGCGTTTGCACATGCGTTGACTGACTCTGAAACAGTAGACAAGAAGTTGATAATTAATGGTTGCCTCTAGGAAGGAGAACTGGGCGGGAGGGAGCCTTTGTACCATGTAACCTTTCGTATTTGGTGTATGTAATACAATTTCCAAACTAAATAAAATCGTGTTCAAAAAGAAAGCGTTTGAAAGATTCGAAAGTGACAATTGGACCTTAAACACAAATTGGAAAGGTACAGAGAAAGAGAACAAGAAAAAAAAAATCACTCATAGTATGACGGCACAGACCCAACCATATTGATATTTTGATATATATTCTTCCAGTCTTTCTGTTCTGTTGAGTAAAGGCTTCTCTTTACTTGGTTGGTAGTTTTGTCTCCTGACTTAGCACAGTTGTCATAATATTTAATTGTGTTCCTGGCTCCAGTGGCTCACCATGCCTGAGGGTGAAGCCTTTCCAGAGGAATCTCTTGTTTGCAATGAGAGCTCTTCCCCAAAAGAGGGATAATGATTCATGATTCTTGTGCCTGTGAGGTTCATTCAGAAGCCATTTGAGAGATGAGAAGTTCTTGAAGCTTCCAAGCCACAAATCGTCTTTAGACGGCACTTAATGAATGAGGTGGGCTTAAGGCCCCCAACAGGACAGTCTTGATCATTCAAAGAATAGTGATGGTGCTTTGCTCACTCAACCGTTTAGCCACGTGCACACACTTTCTTCTCCGTCAGTGCTTCTCCCCCGGGGTCGGGGGGGGGTAATTATATTCGTCCGGCATTTGTCAGCCCGTGTCTTTGCCATTGTTTGCCATTTGCTGAAACCAAGATGCTTTTCTCTCTTTCCCTCTGTGTCCAGTCGGTTCTTCAGAACCTGGACTTGCGGGGCCAGTCTGTCTTCAGCGCTGTCCATACCTACGGCCTCTACGTGAACTTCAAGAACTTCGTCTGCAACATTGGGGAGGACGCCGAGTTGTTCATGGCCCTCTATGACCCGGACCAGTCCACCTTCATCAGGTAGCCGAGTCCCAGGTCATCTGCGGTTGACCTTGCAAAAAGACCCACCCTTACGTGCCACCCACCTAAGGAGCTCTTTGCTAGGTTTGGGAGGGGGAGATAGAGAAGAAGGGAGGGTCTCTAGGTGATAGAAAGTAACATCCTTTGGGCTCCTGAGCCTTTCTGTATGGCTGCTGGCACAGTGTGTGTGCTCCCTGGGTCTGAGAATCACAGGAAACTCATCAGAACATGGAGACAGGGACAGGATAAGGGAGGAATGCATCGGCAGAGCACAGAGGATTTTAAGGCACATGACACCATAATGGTGAATGCGTGTTATCGTACATGTGTCCAAATCCGTAGAACGCACAGCGCCAAGAGTGAACCCTAAGGTAAACTCGGGACTCTGCGTGGTAATGACCTATCGGTATCAGTCCATCAATTGTGACCAATGTGCCACTGTGCTGGGGGATGCTGATAGTGGGCGAGGCTGTGCGTGGGTGGGGGCAGGGCTATATGGGAACTCTGTACCTTCCACTCAACTTCGTTGTCAACCTAAAACTCCTCTAACAAATAAAGGCTGTTTAAAGAAAAAAAAAAAAAAAGCGCTTTTTAAAAAGACTGTAGAGAATAATAGGCTTTGTTTGACCCTGCAGTCACACTGCTACTTGGCTGAGCAGCTAAGAAAACCGATTTGGTTTTTGACTAGATGGTTAAAAGTAGTTACTGACAAATCGTTCATTTCTGCCGTAGAAATTTTATCTGAGTGGGGTGGCGTGAGTTCCAGGGGATGGGTCAGGAATGAATATTTTGAAATTATATTCCTGATTCCGCAAAGCAGAAACCGTCATACGAAGAATTTGAGTTGGAAGAAAGACCCCAGACAGCGTCTGGGAGAACGTGCTGTCTGTCTGTGCCCGTCCTGAGCAGCGTCTGTCTCGGGTCCACCCTGGGTGTGCCTCTGAGCGCTGGGCTGTGGCACTCGCGCTTGTCCAAAGCCAGGGGACCAGGGAGTGGCCACCTGTGCGCTATATTCACACTTGCCTGATAAATTCAACAGAGCTTGTTTGGGCCTTCCTTTCACCGTTAAGTCTATACCGAGGGTAGCCCCATCCCCAGTTAGCTCTTCGTTAAGGATATTTTTTTTTCCTTCCCCAGTGAGAATTACCTAATTCGTTGGGGCAGTAATGGGATGCCCAAGGAAATAGAGAAGCTTAATAACCTTCAAGCAGTTTTTACTGTAAGTGCGACCTTAAGTTTAATAATTTTCTGTGCTTACGATGTTAGCAGATGCACATGGTAAGTATATGGAAAACATCAGAAATGAAAAGAAGACAAGAAAAATCATCATGATCCCCCTAGCAGGAATAACCGCTCATTTATTTTGCAGATATTTATCGAGCACCTATTAGATGCCAGGCACTGATCTGGGCACTGGACATATAGCAGTAAACACATCAGAAAAAACATCCCTGGGACGCCTGGGTGGCTCAGTCAGTTAAGCTTCCGACTCTTGATTTCATCTCAGGCTGTGATCTCGCGGTTATGAGATCCAACTATGTGTCAGGCTCTGTGTGGAGTAGAGCCTTCTTGAGATATTCTCTCTCTCTCTCTCTCTCCCTCTCCCTCTCTCTCTCCCCTTCTCTCTCCCTCTCTCCTTCTTTCTCCCTCTCTCCCTCTCCCCTCTGTCCCTACTCTGACTGTGCTCGCTTGCTCGCTCTCTCTCTCTCTCTCAAAAATAAATACAGTTTAGAAAAAGAAAAAAAAAGAAAAAGCATCTCTGGACTCAAGGAGCTTTTGTCCAAAAGGGGAAGACAGTGAGAAACAGTGATCAAACACATGAGTAAATTGTATAGAATGTTAGGGGTCATAAGTATTTTTCGGGGGGGGGGGTTGTTGGGAGCTTTGGGACTGGGGAAGTGATCATTTTTATTTTTAAAAAAAAAATTTTTTTTTCAACATTATTTTTGGAACAGAGAGAGACAGAGCATGAACGGGGGAGGGGCAGAGAGAGAGGGAGACACAGAATCAGAAACAGGCTCCAGTCTCCGAGCCATCAGCCCAGAGCCTGACGCGGGGCTCGCACTCACTGACCGCAAGATCGTGACCTGGCTGAAGTCGGACGCTTAACCGACTGTGCCACCCAGGCGCCCCAGAAGTGATCCTTTTTAAATAGGCGGGTCAGGGCAGACCTTCCTGAGAAGGGGCCATTTGAGCAAGAACTTGAAGTTGACGAGAGTGAGCAATGCTGATGAAGAGCTTTGCACACCGGGGTTACAGCTCCAGCAAAGGCACAATCTCTATTTTTTGGTTCGCTCCTCTTTCAATGGCCTTTCCCCTGTATTTCTCCTCTTCTCCAAGGTAGGAGGAGCAGTGCTCTCTCTGGGTCAAGAGCGAGAAAATTTATCGGGTCATAGAGCTGAGACCTGGTGACTCTTTCTCCTGGGTTAGAACTTTCTTGGGGTTCTCTCACTTTTTTATGACATCAGTGCTTAAAATGCCCCGGAGCCGCTGCCACCTGCTCTGAGAGGTGTTGGTGGGCAGGCTTCTCCAGCTCCCACTAGGCCTAAAGGGGATACGCTGTCCTTTCCTGCCTTCTTTCCTTAAGCCCATGCACATATATGTTATCTCCCTGTTCTGTTACCACTCTACAGCAGGGAAAATACAGTCGCAGGGAAAATACAGTCGCAGGGAAAATGCCAAAGGAAGCAATAGGAAGGAGCAGTGGACCCAGGACAGTCTAGTCATTCATTCATTCATTCCTTCTTATTAGTATTTATTCCTCCTGTTAACGTCTCATTTTCACAACGAGCACGGTGTGATGACCGCTCGTGAGCTGACCCACCTATATCTTTACCATCTGGTAATCAAAGACAGAAGAAGAGCTTAAACTCTTCCCGAAACCTCCCTTCCTCAATTCTAAGATATGTGGATTTTCCCCTAAAATCAAAAAGCGTTTATTGGTCAATGTGTACATTGAAAAACCATTGGGAAAAAAAAAAAGGAATTATTGAGCTTTTGGTCCATCTTCTAATCAATGACATTTTATAAATTTTGTTTTCAACGTTTATTTATTTTTTTTGGGACAGAGAGAGACAGAGCATGAACGGGGGAGGGGCAGAGAGAGAGAGGGAGACGCAGAATCGGAAACAGGCTCCAGGCTCTGAGCCATCAGCCCAGAGCCTGACGCGGGGCTCGAACTCACGGACCGCGAGATCGTGACCTGGCTGAAGTCGGACGCGTAACCAACTGCGCCACCCAGGCGCCCCTAATCAATGACATTTTAGAAAAGCTGCATTTTATCCTGTTTCTCCCACACCCCTCCCGATTACGATCTTCTTGGATGTAAATTTCATGTCCAGCTTTTTCAGTGAAATAAAATGTGGTGACCACGTCCTTGATCATTAAGCAGCTTTCCAAAACTTCTTTTACAAAGCACATTATTAAATAATTGCAGTGTGCCCCAATTTATGTAACTAGTCACCCAGAGTCTTTATCTTTCTATTAACAGAAGCCTCACACAACTTAGAATAGAAATTCAGGGTTGATGCCATCATTGGTATATATCCCTATTTTGGAGACCTCAGTTAACTCAATTACAGAGGATGGATTCGGAATGATTATTTAGAAAGTAATTCTTGATTCAGTAAAGAGGCCTTGGACAGCTGTTTCATGAAAAGAATTTGAGCTGCAATTAAAATATTTCTGATGTTTAAGAGAATGAGCTATGTGGGCTCATTCACGGATTTACTCACCCATCCTTGAGAATACCAACAAGTGTAGAACACGAGCCGCAACAAAACAGAGACATCCACACATCTTCCATTGATCAACATACACCGAGAAGCTCTCCATGAATACCTCTCAAAAAGCAGATGAATAATTACAGAAACCAGCACATGTAAGTTTCTGTGTTATAGCTGCCTCGCAGGATTATTTGGAAGATGAAATGAAATAACACCGGCATGTGTAGATACCCAGTAAATGTCAGCGTCACGCAAGCTTTCATTTCATCTGACACTGAAGTGCAGCCTGTGCTCAGCTCTGTCCTGGCAGAATATAAAGTAGCAATGACAGGTGTCCCGATTTTTAAACACCCTGCTTAAATTGATAAACTAGAGACTTCAGACCGAACGTGATCTTCTTTTTCTCGATATGAAGTAGGAACTGAGGAATCAAAAAAAAAAAAAAAAAAAAAAAATCCCTTCCTTTTTGGAATACGGGCTCTGATGCCCTGGTAGTTCTTGGGTGGGTGTGGAGAAGGGAAGGCTCGTTCTCCTTTTCCAGGATTAGGAAATAGGCTCTGAATGGTGTTCTGTTGTAGAGTGAAAAGAGAAACAAAGGTGACGGGTGATGCCGCCTGATCTCCTCTTGCTTGGTCTCTGCCCCTTTAGGACCTCAGCAGCACAGACCTCATCCGGCCCCGCATCAGCCTCGTGTGCCAGATTGTCCGGGTGGGCCACATGGAGCTGAAGGAGGGCAAAAAGCATACCTGTGGGCTCCGAAGACCTTTTGGAGTAGCAGGTACAGAAAGTCCCAGAGACCTGTAAAGGGTGCAGCCACTGGGAAAAAAAAAAAACGGCACGGCAGGGCCTCCAACAATTAAGCATAGCACTTATGATCCAGGAATCCCACTTCTGGGTGTGTCTACCCGAAGGAATTGGAAGCGGAGGGTCTCAAGACATTTGTACACTTGGGTTTAGAGCAACATTATTCACAATAAGCCAAAAGGTGGAAGCAACCCCAGTGCTCATGGAGGGATAAATGGGTAAACAAAATGTGGTACGTACATACAGTGGAATAGCGCTCAGCCTTACAAAGGAAGGAAATTCTGACCCAGGTTACAACATGGATGAGCCATAGGGATGTCGTATAAAGTGAAATAAGCCCGTCACACAAAAAGATAAATACCGTATGACCCTACTCATGTGAAGTAGGTCAGAATCGTAGAAACATAAAATAGAATGGGGGTTGCCAGGGGCTGGGGGGAAGGAGGGGAGATGGGGGGGGGAGTTGGTGTTTACTGGGGACCGAGTTTCAGGTGGGGAACATGAAAAAACTCTGGAGATGGACGGCGTTGTCAGCACCACACGAGTGTGAATGCGCTTCCTGCTGCTAAACTGGGCTTTGAAGAGTAGTTAAGACAGCAGATCTGACGTTACGCATGTTTTACCCCCACCACACACGCACACTTAAAGATAGGAGGGTGGGGAACCCCAGAGACCGTGCAAGATGAATTTGGTTGTCAATGTTAGTATCCGACACACAGCATTCACTCCCTCGGCTACCAGTTATCTTTTCTTGGGTCCTGTGTCATCACCTAGACCTAGACCTAGACCCCGCCTCCTTTGTTTCTTCTTCAGTGCCCAGCACTATGCCTTGCACACGGTAGGACCTTAGGAAAGCCTCAGTTGTGACCACCGGCATTGCCCTGCCTGTGGGCTACGTATTGATTTTGGTCCAGTAAAACTCTCCCTGGAAAGTGGTTTGCCTGTCTGGGAGACTCACTCATCAAAGGCAACATTGTGTTGCTGACTGCTTTCAAAGAGGGTCCTTGGCTTAAATCAAACCCCGCAACCTTCCAAGAGGCCCTGCGTTTTCTTCTGTAGTTTGTTAAATGAAGGAAATACATTCCTGGTCATACGTGGACGTTTTGCTCCCTGAGACGTTTTGAAAGCTGTCGATGAAATGCCATAATTCTCCTGGAACAAATGTCCAGAAAATGCCACCAGGATTGACCTGGTGGGTTTATGGATAACGAGGCGGCCTCTGTATCCCATGAGACTGGATGTCGTCATCTCTTGACCAGCCTTGCGCTGCACCTGCTGTCAGGGTCTGCTGGTCTGTGAAGAGGGCACAGCATTACTCCTGATAGAGAGTTAAAGTGAAATCTGAGAAAAGGCAAGGAGCCCTGGCCTAGCACTATTTAGCCATCTAGATGACAATCTACCGAACTAAGGATTTAAGGCATGTTCGAGGTCATTGTCATTCCAAATGGGCCATAGAGATTTGAAAATCAAGCTTGAGGCTTGTGCTTGTTTTTCTGTTTCAGGGTGTGTGTGTGTGTGTGTGTGTGTGTGTGTGTGTGTGTGTGTGTGTGTATGCACGCACGCACGTAAATGTAAGGCGAGAACAGTAGTAATTTACTCTGAGACTCGATGCCAAGAGGTTTGGGATAACTAGGTGATGGCCTTGACAAAGAACTGCCTCTGGAAGGGGGTGTGCCAGACACAGATTTTTCAGTATTTTGTTTTTGTGTACAGTGTTTGCAGGGGTCTGTTAAGGACTAACAGCAAGTTGATGGCATGGCCCGCTTATACCGCAGCCTTTCACCAATACTATTATTTCCCAAGCCTAACACACTGCCATTCAGGTTGCTTTGAGAAGGCATTTCCTTCCTTATCCCTCGTTATTCAAATGAGAAAGGTCTTGTATTTCAGTACTTCTTTTAATCTCCAAACAGGTTATCTGGGGAGTGGATTGTGAGCGTGCGCTTTACGGCCAGATTGTAATTCATTAACCAAGGGATCACCTCTTGTATGCGGGTCCTGCCTGGTTTGAGCAGCTGTAGAGTGGTCCGCTCATCAGTTCTCCGGGCAGCAAGGCTTTGCTAGCTTAGGTGATTTGGCCAGGTAGTAATCGCAGTTGGGTTCATACCCTGGCTTTACCGCTTAAGACTTCCGACCTAGGGCAAGTTACGTACCTTTCCTGTGCTCGGTTTCCTCATCTCTTAAAGTAGGGGCATAAAGTATCTGCATAAATAAGAAAACATATACAATAGGCTTAGAACAGTGCTTTATTGGTGACTCTGCTTGTGCACAAAGAAGCAAATCACCGTATGATCTTCTGTTCTATGCTGCTGGTGCCCTTGGCTTCCCTTCGTTTACATGGAAACCAGGTGCGACCACGTCAAGGCCAAGAGACAGGTGACCACTTCAAGTCATGAGTTTCTCAGGTCTTCATTCTGTTGACACGCCTGACGACAATCTGTGTTCCCCGTGCCTGGGAATGCAGGCTTACCAACAAGTAATCCACCGGTTTAAATTTCTCCAGAACTGAGCGCTGGGTCTCATAGAAATTTCAAAAGCGGGTAATCTGCAGGATTGAGCGGAGCAAATCTAAACGCCTGCACGAGCTCCTGATGAATGGATTGTTCTGCAGGGTGGGTGCTGGGAATGATCGTTGGCAAAGACAGAAGTGTCCCTGCTCTGTCTGTCTGTCTGTCTGTCTGTCTGTCTCTCTCTCTCTCTCTCTGTCTCTCGGCCTATGTTTGCAGATACTGTAATTTTCCATTGTAACGTACTGAAGCCTGAAGCAATTAAGTTCTTTAATTAAGTTTTATCTTTTTCCTAGTGATGGATATTACTGATATTATACATGGGAAGGTGGATGATGAAGAAAAGCAGCATTTTATCCCCTTTCAGCAGTAAGTACTGTGGCATTTATCCCGGGTGACTTGACACCTGGAATAGTTCTTTGAATGATCTGTTAACACACAAGCAGGTGCTAGGAACCATTGCTCAGTTACAAAAGCAAAAGTCTCAGGCTGGGAGATTGCGAGATAGAAGCTGACAGAAGACTGTATTCAAGGTCCTTTATGTTGGGGTCACACGTAAGAGGGAAACCTAACTTTCCCGATTCTGCAGACAAGACCTTTGGAATATAAGGGGCAAATCTCTATCTACTCTAGAAACCCGAGAATGGTGCCATTTAAGCGTCAGGAAGGCCGAAGTATATTTGTACTTTGTCGTGTGGGACGAGTGTCATGGAATACAAGGCATCATGTAGGACAGCACGGGGCTTCTCTTGAGGTCTTGTCGGTGCAGAGCATGGTCTGGTAGGTGTGGAGGCTGCATCTGACAAGCTTCCGGCTGCTTCTACCAGGCTGGAGACCAGGAGGGTGAAAGGCTGCCCAACGCCTGGGCTCCTGCTGGCGAGGGAGAGCCAGCCTGGCAGTACATGGAAGGATTCCCTGGAGAGCTCTACTGAGGCCTCCAGACCGAGCTTCAGGAGCTGGAGCCCTGGGTGGGCCACTGGGGAGCTGTTGGTCAGCAAAGGTCAACCCCCGTCCATGACTCCGAAGAAGTGTATGTGCGGACACCATTCCTGGCTCTATGAGTCGTGGCTGCCTCGCCCCAGGTGCGGGCAGTGGTGGCCCGAATGAGGCCACGGACGATGCTGGAACTGACCCCTAACAGGGCAGTCGTGTCAGTGAGGGAAGGTGACCGTCTCAGCCAGCCTACAGCTGCCAGAGCAGGTCAGCGGAACAACTGAGAATTCTGGAAACCAGCCCAAAGACGTTTGAGTTAATATATGATTTTTTAGGGGCGCCTGGGTGGCGCAGTCGGTTAAGCGTCCGACTTCAGCCAGGTCACGATCTCGCGGTCCGTGAGTTCGAGCCCCGCGTCGGGCTCTGGGCTGATGGCTCGGAGCCTGGAGCCTGTTTCCGATTCTGTGTCTCCCTCTCTCTCTGCCCCTCCCCCGTTCATGCTCTGTCTCTCTCTGTCCCAAAAATAAATAAACGTTGAAAAAAAAAATTAAAAAAAAAAATATATGATTTAAAAAAAAATAATAGTGCAGATCCATGGAGAAGTATGAACTACGCAGAAAGGAATTGTTTGACAAAATTAGCTCACCATTTATTAAGCTGAAGTCAGAACCTTGTCTCACATCTTGTGCCGGATGATTAAATTTATAAGTGTAAGAACTCAAATCTCAAAATATACAGGGAAATAAAAGTTTTATGTAATAGTGCCTTTTATGAATCAGGCTCCAGAGATTTGACCAAAAAAAAAAAAATTGATAGGTTAAACCACCCCCAAATTTTAAATAACTTATATACTGAATAACATTTAGTAAAATCTTTGCAATGTGTATGAAAAAGAATGAGTATTGTTAATATATAAAGAATTAATAGTAGTAATTCATAAGGATATCAACAGAAAATATATGTGTGTATATATAGACACACACAAATATGTACACATACACACACAGAAAGAAACGGCTTATAAATTCCTGGAGAATCAATGAAATGCAAAATAAACAAGGAGGTTTAGTACTGGGTTTGATCGAGTTTTAAAAATATATATAATATCCAGAGTTTGGGTGTAAGGAGATATACAGTACTTATAAGAACATAAAGGGGCACCTAGGTGGCTCGGTGGGTTAAGCGTCTGACTTCGGCTCAGGTCATGATCTCGCGGTCTGTGAGTTCGAGCCCAGCATCGGGCTCTGTGCTGACAGCTCAGAGCCTGGAGCCTGTTTCCGATTCTGTGTCTCCCTCTCTCTCTGCCCCTCCCCTGTTCATGCTCTGTCTCTCTCTGTCTCAAAAATAAATAAACGTTACAAAAAAAAAAAAAAGTTAAAAAAAAAAAAGAACATGAATTGTTACAGTGCATTAAAAGCCTCAAAATTTAGGTATTTCAAAGAATATACTCCATGATTAACAGTGGTTATTTCTGTTGAGTTAACCAAAGGTGATTTTGTCCCATTTGTGTTTAACTCTGTGCTTCTGTTTTTTCCCACAAAAATCACGTATTGTATGTAATTTTATTTAAAGTATAAAAATCTTTATCTTTCAGTTTAAGGCCCACCACTTTGGACCAGTTTCTAGATATAACAGTACCAATAGCTCATGCTCAGTAGCACCTCCTTCATCCAGAGGCTGCTATTAATACTTTTTAAAACGTGCACTTATCGGGGCGCCTGGGTGGCGCAGTCGGTTGAGCGTCCGACTTCAGCCAGGTCACGATCTCGCGCTCCGTGAGTTCGAGCCCCACGTCGGGCTCTGGGCTGATGGCTCAGAGCCTGGAGCCTCTTTCTGATTCTGTGTCTCCCTCTCTCTCTGCCCCTCCCCCGTTCATGCTCTGTCTCTCTCTGTCCCCAAAAAATAAATAAACGTTAAAAAATAAAAAAAAACAAAAAACAAAAAAAAAAAAACGTGCACTTATCTAGTATCTTACCACATATATACTGACGCTCCAAGAATGTGGTGAGGTGAATACTTTATGTAGCTTCATGCTAATACGAATTATGAGCTAACTTTCAAATTCGTGAATGCTGATCCCATGATAATTATATACACACGTGTTTGAGTATATTAAATAATATACTAAATGTAATAAATATATCAAATATAATTTTTATTAATACATTAAGTGTATTAATGTGTTAAATATATGAATATACCTTAAACATTAATGAGTAAATGTTAAATAATATATAGAAAAAATATGAATATATATTTGAATATATTAAAACATGCATTTTATGTATGATAAATATAAACAACTCCATGACCACGGATGTTCCTGTTATATCCACCCATATGTAGATATGACGTATTTACAAAGGTTACCGCGTATCACTATTATATATGCATTATGTCTTATGTGCGTGTTATATATGAGTATATACATTACATAATAGCATGTATGCACGTGAAAGTTATTCTGTATGTGTGTTTCACTTCTGAGGTGGGTTTCTTCCTCTGGTTATGTGCCTCCCTGCCTAATTTCTGAACCAGCTCCCACCCGGGAGCCACGTTGAAACAGCGAGCCCTGAAACGGCCTTCACTGTATCATAATATGCGCTTTGAGTTTCTGAGGAACCCAGACCTAATTTGATTACCACTCATTGTGCAGTCAGCAGCCACTGTAAAGCATTCCGTGATGCAAATCACAGTCTCTGGTGCTTGAACTCCTAAGATTTATGGCAAATGCTTTCATAACTTATCTCAAAAGCTTTATAGCATGTTATATTAGGGGAGTCTCCTATATGTCTCCTGCCAGTTCATCAAAGAGAAAGCCCTTTGAAAGCACCCACGCAGATCATAGCCACCTCGCTTATCAGTGAGATACTGCTGTATGTTTCCCTGCAACTATCAGGGTCCAGAACAGAGCCCCGCAGAGAACGCTGGCCTGTGTGTGGGCAAGAGAAGAAAACCACAGCAGAGAGAGAGAGAGACTCTTGTACTGCACCGGGCTGACCTGTAGTTCCTGAGAGTGCCCGGGCTGTCAGGAGGGGCTGGATTTGGCTCTTGGATCACCCTGTACGAGCCGCAGCCCGATGGGATCATTAAAGTGAAACTTGTTTGCTGCTGGCTGTGCCACTGTAACTCCAAATATAGTTTGTCATCACATGGGAATCTGAGAACATTCTCCAAAAGCTGCTGCGTGCATACTGCTCCTGTATGTTAAGTGTTGGCACCAGAGGGAGGCCTCGGGAGGCATATGATCTTGGCCCATCTCCTCGCAGATGAGGAGACTGAGGCTCAGTTAGATGGAACCAGACCTGGAGGCCAGGTCTCCTGCCTCGTCCCGTTTCTTCTTCGATTCCATTACATCAGCCTCTCCCAGCTCAGAAAGAGCATTAGGCGTTGCCTCTGATTTTGTTAACATTTGCCTATCAGTTTGGTTTTGTTGTTGTTGTTCTTGGGGGAATTTGTTTTTCCTTTTTCCACTGGGGGCCTGTCTTAGGCACCAGCGTCATCTTGGAAATGACCAAGCTGGGCACCCAAAGGAAAAATACAGGGAAGAAAGAGTCTTCAAGTTAGGTATGTCCAATGTTTATAGCTGCAGATTGTTCCCATAGGACCCACCGTATCTGAAGCTGTTGCTGCAGAAACTTCCGCTTTTTACCTAACCTCTCATTTCTGACTTTCCCAGAATTGCAATGGAAACCTATATCCGGCAGAGGCAGCTAATCATGTCGCCCCTGATAACATCCCATGTGATTGGGGAGAATGAGCCACTCACTTCAGTCTTGAATAAAGTGATAGCAGCGAAGGAAGTGAATCACAAAGGACAAGGTACAGCAGCCCTACGTACTAAGCTGGGAGTGGGCATTCGAGTTGAGCCCTTGGACTCCTGCCCTTTTGCGCTATCTTTCTCTGATACAAAACAGCCCCTGCTGGGTGGGGATCGCTCACCTCAGCTTCCTGGTAAAGGCTTTTAACACTGAAGAGCACAGAGGTTGTATCCAGCGCCGAATTGGATCACAGCTATATTTTGTAAATTGTGTGAAACAAATTTTTATCCCGTGAGTCTTCGCTCAGTTTTGTCTGCCCCACAATCCCAATGCTGACTCTAAGGTAAATGCACAAAGTGAAGGAGGTTTGGGGAAAATTATGTTCCACCCTGTGAAGGTTTATCCCGTTACATTACCTAAAAAGTAAGAGGGAAGAGACCACAATAATACAAATTAATAGATAATAATATGGAATAACGGGCTAGCTAGCCAAACATTTGATTGTTTTTAGTGCTTCCATTTATCATTCTGTTGACACAGTTTTAGCTAAGAAATTCTCCTGGAAACTGCATTTTAAATTCAAATAATAAGAAAAACTAGTTAAAATTTTAAATTTCAAATACCAAGATGGAGATGATTTGGGGATAATTTTGAAGATGGGGTACTTTTTTTTTTTTTTTTTTAACCACCTGTCAGACTGTCTTCTGAAACGGAGGCAGTCAGGAAACACACTAATCATTAATTTCAGCATATTTAGTTTTCCATGTATTCACAGTCGTTCTGGGTGGGAAAGACATGTGAGGAATCATTAAGGAATCCGAAAACAAGTAACAAAATATATTTCTGTTGTTTTGGAACTCATCAGTGGCTGTTAATTAGCACAGTGCCTGCTGTGTGACCCGATATTTACAAATCTGTACCTGTTTGAAAGGTGAAAAGTCAACTTCCGTAGTTCTCTTGCATTTAAACAAAAAATTACTTGGGGCACCTGGATGGCTTAGTTGGTTAGGCATCCAACTCTTGATTTCGACTCAGGTCATGATCTTGCAGTTGTGAGATCGAGCCCTGGGTCGGACTCTGCGCTAACAGCACAGAACCTGCCTGGGATACTTTCTCTCTCCCTCTGCCCCTCTCCCCCAGTCATGCTCTCTTTCTCTAAAATTAAAAAAAAAAAAAAAAAAAAAAAAAAAAAAATTAAAAGTGAATTACGCAGGCTTCCCTACGTTTTTTTTGAGTTTTCCTTCTCAGTTTTTATGAAGATAACAATGTCTCTCTTTTATTTTTTTTTAACATTTTATTTATTTTTGAGGGACAGAGAGAGAGACAGAGTGTGAGCAGGGGAGGGGCAGAGAGAAAGGAAGACATAGAATCCCAAGCAGGCTCCAGGCTCTGAGCTGTCAGCCCAGACCCTGACGCAGGGCTCGAACCCACGAACCGTGAGATCATGACCTGAGCCGAAATCAAGAGTTGGGCGCTTGGGGCACCTGGGTGGCTCAGTCAGTTAAGCATCCAACTCTTGATTTGGGTTCAGGTCATGATCCCATGGTTCATGGGTTCGGGCCCTGCATCGGGCTCTGCACTGACAATGCAGAGTCAGCTTGAGATTTTCTCTTGTCTCTGTCTCTGTCTCTCTCTCTCTTTGCCCCTTTACTTCCCCCTCTCTTGAAATAAATAAATAAACCTTAAAAAATTAAAAAAAAAAAAGAGTTGGGGGCTTAACTGCCTGAGCCACCCAGGCACCCCTCGCTTCTTTATAAATACCAAAACTTTCCATTTCTATATAGATAGTTTTGTTCTGTATGATTTCTTCATTTGTCTCTATTCTTAGAAAAGAGGTTCATTTTACTTCCTTAATATATTAGGAATTTAGTTTAATGAAAATGGGAGGTGGCAGATTTGTTTGATTCTCTTTTAAGTAGAAAATTATTCCAGCATATTTATAAAATTGTTGCTTCTTTTTTTCAGGATTTTTATGCATCTTTACTATATATGCATCTACTATATATACAACTACTATCTACTATGTATATATATATATATATATATATATATATATATATATATATACACACACTATATATATACTGTATATTTTAGTACTTAATCTAATTGTTTCTAGTGATTTAAATACCTTTTCTGCCATTAATACCACACTTTACTACAGCTCTATCTGTATTTTGGTATCTGATTGGGGATATCTTTACTTGTGCTCCTTCCCCCAGAGTAAACACTGTTCACACCTCTGTCAAATTCTCGAGGAAGTCACGTGATTTTGATGGGAGTGTCATTAAAATTATAAGTTAACTGGGGGAGAATTTACATTTTTCTAAGAAAGTATCTGTATATTACTACGACACATGTATTTTTCTCAGCCTTTCTATGTGGGTTTATGGTACAGATCATAAAGAGCACCAAAGTTTATGCTTTATTTCTTTAAAGGGCTTTGGATATCTTTGAAGCTGTTGCCAGGTGACCTCACACAGGTTCAGAAGAATTTTTCACATCTGGTGGATAGATCAACTGCAATCGCCCGAAAAATGGGCTTTCCCGAAATAATACTTCCAGGTAAAAAGCTTTGGCTTGATTCACCTGTGCTGCCTCCTCTGTTACTTCTAACAGGACAGTGGAGGCAACATAAGATCCCGCGTGACATTTCGTTACCTGCATCCAACGGTGTCGAGACAGTGGGAAATAACATATAGGGTTGCAGTGCCTTGTACCAACCTACCCAGTGCACAAGCCCGAGATAATGCTTCGAAACGTAACTCAGAATTTTCTGTTCCCTCTCTTCCTTTATGTTCCACATAAGCCCCTCTGAAATTCTCCCTGACTTGTCCATTACGGAGAGCTAATGAAAGCATAGGTCCTGCGCCCCCAGAGTGATCGGCTTCATCGCGTGGACCTTTCTCAGGATGACATTCAGCCTTGTGGGCTGCTTGCCAGGGAACGGCAGCGAGGTACCTGCTCAGCCCCGTCTCCGCGAGGCCCTTTGCCCCATTTGCTTAAGCTCCAACTGTGTGCTTGGCTCTCCCTGTACTCGTGGTGACGAGAATTGTAAACATTCTGCGGTTTTCTTACTTGAGTTTCGTCTTTTTTGGCACCACATATGGGTGAGATCTACATATGTGTTCTCTTGAATTCACTGACTTAAGCCATTTGTTTCTGAATCTTTACAGCCATAAAGGGAAATCAGCACAAGGACCTTAACATAAGATCTTTATATACATATCCGTATAGGTATTCTCCGCATGCTCATCTCCATTCTGCAAGAGTGTTTTGTCTTCTTGTTTTAAAAGAAAAAAAGCAGCTTTGGTAATACTCTTCGCACTGAACGCCCTGTTACTCCTACAGCAAGAGCAAAGTCTGAAACAATGCAATGGAGTTTATTTGGGGGACAAGATGAATTTGTCTTTGAAATCTGGCTGGGAAGATTCTTGTCTCCTCTTTCTTTCTTTTCTTTTTTTTTTTTTTAATTTTTTTTAAACGTGTATTTATTTTTGAGACAGAGAGAGACAGAGCATGAACGGGGGAGGGTCAGAGTGAGAGGGAGACACAGAATCCGAAACAGGATCCAGGCTCTGAACTGTCAGCATGGAGCCTGATGCGGGGCTTGAACTCACAGACTGTGAGATCATGACCTGAGCCGAAGTCGGACGCTCAACCGACTGAGCCACCCAGGCGCCCCACTTGTCTCCTCTTTCTAACCAGTGGGATTGGTTCCTGACTGCCAGGGCTATAATAGACTTCAAAAAACCATCCAGGATGATGGCCACCAGACGCTGGTCTTTGGATCAAGCTCGTCAGGATCACCTGCTACAGGCTCCCAGCATTTTCCAGACTCTGATTCAGTTTGTAAGGCCCAAGCTCCCCAGGTGATCCTGGTGACCGGCCAGGGTTGAGAAACAGAGGTCTAGACCCAAGTCCCCCGCCTTGCGTCTCCTCATCTTCGTTTGGACAACCCAACTCTCCCCTCCAGCTATGGTGCCCCTCTTTGCCTCATCTTCCCAGCCAGGTTCTTGGAAGCGGTTACATACTCTCTGTCTCTAGTTCTGCGTCTGCCGGTCCCCCTTCCCCCCCCCCCCCCGTCCTGTCCAGAGTGGCTGTCGTTAGAGTCACCAAAGATTGTAGTGTCACTAAACCCGGTGGATATGTTTTTGGCCTACTGATTGTCTCTGGTGTTCTTAGCGGCATGTGACATTGTCTGCCGCTCCCTGTTGAAATGTTCCACCCTTCTCGTCAGAGACCCGCACTCTCCTCTTTTTCTCCACTCCCCTTTGCTGCCTTGTCATCTTCTGTTTTGCCTTTCAATGTTAAGAGCTCCTCGGTATTTGGTCCTTATGTCCCGGATTAGTTTGCTTGGGCTGCCATAATGAAGTACCACAGGCTGGGTGGCGAAAGCCTCAGACATGTACTGTCTCACAGCTCTGGAGGCTGCACGTCCGCGATCAAGGGGTCAGCAGGGTTGGTTTCAACCCTGAGGCCTCCCTGCTTGGCTCGGAGATGACCGTCTTCTCACTGTGTCCCCACATGGTCGCCCCTGGGGGCTCTGTGTTGTGTGCTGATCTCATAAGGACACAGGTCCTGTTGGATTAGTGCCCACCATGTGACCTCCTTTTACCTTAATCACCTCTTTAAGGGGCTGACTCCAAATACAGTCACATTCGGAGGTGCTAGAGGCGAGGGCTTCGGCATATGAGTTGAGGGGGAGCAGTTCAGTCCGTGACAGGTATCTTTTCCTTCTCATACCTCCGTTTTCTTCCCATGTGATCTCATCCACTCATTTTGCCTCTGTGGATTCGTTGCCTCCGAATTCGTACCTCTGGCCTCAAGACTGCTTCTTTGAACTCCGGCCCCATAGACCCAACTACTTCCTGCCTCAGGACTTCCATAGACACTGCTCCTACCCGGCTGGATCACTCTCCTCTCTTTAACTGGCTAGTTCTTCCTCACAGTCCCCACTTGGGACTTGCAATCGTTTGCATGTAGACTGGCTCTTCTGTTGTGTTTTATCCAAGAGATTGGCAGCCTCATCCACCCAGTTGCGCCAACGAGAAGCCTGAGTCTCTCTCTTGAACCTCCCTTTTCCTTTATACCTCACGCAAAATTAGTGGCCAAGACTTTCCACTCTTACCTTTGAAAGACCTCTCCAATCCACCCCCTTCTCCCTGTCTCCATTGCCACTTCCTTAGTTGTAGCCACTGCCATCAGTTCCCTGGGCCACCATATGGTTGGATAACAATCATATGTCCACTGCCTCCGGACCTTTGCACGTGTTACTTGCTCTTCCCTTTTACTCTCCTCCCTCCCTCCGACACGCGTTCAGAGGAAAGATTTCCACACCTTCCAGACACAGTTGGGACTTAGTGTTATACCTTCATAGAGCCTGGCCTTTTCTTTCCTCTGTAGTGATGCATTTCATCATGTGGTTATCTGATCATGCTTCTCTCCCCCACTAGACTGGAGGCTGTGTGAGAGCGAGGCTGGCGCATGGCTCACCACCGTCTCCCAAACGCTTAGCACAGCGCTTGCCACGGAGCAGGTGCCCGGTCGGTTTTTCAAATGAATAAATGAATAGCATCTCATCCGATGATACCGTAATTTATTCAGCCAGCTGTCGATTGTTGGAAATTGAGGATTTTCCAGGTTTTCGCTTTTGGAAACAGCAGCACAGTGAAGATCCTTACAGACTTATAAGATTTGTTTGCTCACATTCTCAATACTTTGGGATAAATATTACCAGTGAGCTTGCTTTGTCAGTTAAGGCTTTTAACACAAATTGTCAGTTTCTCTACCGACACGGTGTGCACCGTGAGGATTTCAAAGTGTGAAGGATGAATTAGCCCCCATTCCTTCACCTTAACCAACTGTGGGCAATACCTTCCTTTCTTCTAAGCAGATAAGAGATGGAAATGAAAAGTGCTCCAAATGTGCACCCCCCATATTCTTCTAGGGCTGGAAGGTTTCATTTTTTTTTAATACTGGAAGGCAGTTTATTTTTTTATTTTTTTTATTTAAAAAAAAAATTTTTTTTTGAACGTTTATTTATTTTTGGGACAGAGAGAGACAGAGCATGAACGGGGGAGGGGCAGAGAGAGAGGGAGACACAGAATCGGAAACAGGCTCCAGGCTCCGAGCCGTCAGCCCAGAGCCCGACGCGGGGCTCGAACTCCCGGACCGCGAGATCGTGACCTGGCTGAAGTCGGACGCTTAACCGACTGCGCCACCCAGGCGCCCCTGGAAGGCAGTTTAATATTAGTATAGATTTTAGACGAATTGAACAACACCTAGTCTTCCCAGTCAGAAACTTGATACACCTTTCATTCATTCTAGGTTTTGTTCAAACATCTCAAGAATATTTAATTTGTTTTCGCTGTGGGGGCTCTTCACTTGCTAATTAACTAATTTTTTAAAATGTTGTTCTGGGTAACCAAGAAGATGCCAAGCAGAAGTTTTTCTGATAGTGTAAAAATAGTGATGCTTATTGAATAATGACACTTACAAATAATGACACTTACTAACTAATGATTTAAATGAGCGTATTCTACAGGCTTTTAGGAATAGTGTCTATCTCATCAAGAGCATTATATGGATTAAATAGATGATTGCCTAGAAGACACTCTCAACAGTGCCCAGGGACATAGTGAGCAGCCAATAAATACTAGCCTTCCTTATGATCAGATGTGTTAAAATAACAAACTTCAAGGCATTATTGAAAAAACTACCCCGCTGTAACCTCAAAATACATTGTGTGCTTATTACTAGACAGCAGTGGTTAAGAAAGAGAACAAAGGATGGCCATTAAAAAGAGTTCATTAAAAGAAAATGAATTAAAAAAAAGAATTTTTAATTAATTAATTAAAAAAAATTTAAATCCAAATCAGTTAACATAGTTTAATAATGGTTTCAGGAGTAGAATTTAGTGATCCATCCCTTACATACAACACCCAGTGCTCATCCCAACCCGTGCCCTCCTTAATGCCCCTCACCCATTTAGCCCCCCCAAAAAGAGTTCATTTTCAAACACGGCATTTCAAAGCCACTTTGGTAGGTATGGAGAGGTGGGATGAGGGAAGCTGAATAGGGCAATACACGTAAAAACTTCTGCGATATGAATGGCTCTCTATAAAGTCAGAAAGCTTCGTAGTTTGTTTGTATTTTATATCTCCTTACGTCCTGAAAGTTACAAGTGACTTCTGTCAGCACCGCTCACAGGATGGGTTGTGCCGTTGCAGGCGACGTACGGAATGATATTTATGTCACCCTGATCCACGGCGAGTTTGACAAAGGGAAAAAGAAGACACCGAAGAACGTGGAGGTGACCATGTCTGTGTACGACGAGGAGGGCAAACTCTTAGAGGTATGGGGGACTGCCCCGAAATCCTGCTCCCATCACACACTTCTTTCCAACAACGGCGGGCTTTGACCTGACGTGGCTTGTTCTCCACAGGCACGTGCGTTGGGCTTTTCATAAGGAAAAAATAGGAAACCTGTTAAATTTGTGATTAGCAATGGCCGACTTTACTGATAAACCCACGTAGGCGCTTCTTTTTGTTGTTTCTCCTGTTCTAAGAAGTGCCTCAAGCCGCTAATGGTTTCAGGTGTATGCTTTTGCTCCAGAAGTTCTGTATCGTTTCCAAGGTATACGGCCACTTTCAAGCCTGGTACGTTCCTGTGGGGCTTGAGCGAAGGCCCAGAAGGCTCTGAAGGGCACATTCCTCTGTGGAGTAGAGAGTACTGTGTTAGAGGGGCTAACGGTGCGGTGGACCCTGGTTCAGGGATGACTTATGTGTGCTGTTGATGGGGCCCTTGAGCCCCATGACTTCAGGTCCACGGCTTCTCCTTTTTTCTTTTTTCTTTTTTTTTTTTAATTTTTTTTTTCAACGTTTATTTATTTTTGGGACAGAGAGAGACAGAGCATGAACGGGGGAGGGGCAGAGAGAGGGAGACACAGAATCGGAAACAGGCTCCAGGCTCTGAGCCATCAGCCCAGAGCCTGACGCGGGGCTCGAACTCCCGGACCGCGAGATCGTGACCTGGCTGAAGTCGGACGCTTAACCGACTGCGCCACCCAGGCGCCCCTCCACGGCTTCTCCTGACTGCTCACTTCACAGCTTTGCTAACCAGCTCAGAAAGTGCCCCCTTTGAGGCCTGCCCCTACTGAACCGAGTGGCTCATTCCTAGGAGACAGAGCCCTGAGTTGTAGTGAACACGCTGTAGCTGGGCAGCAGGTCCTTAAAGCAGAGCGTAGACAGGACCTCACACACCGGCGTGTCTGCACCCGTGCCGTAGCTCTTAGTCACTCTCGCTGCGCCTCTGCTCCCTGGGAGGGGAGCGGAGGGAAGGAGAAGGTATGCCTGCAGAGGAGAAGGCAATAAACGTTGCAGCAAAGAGCGGTGTTAGGATGGCGTTGGGTCCCTTAGTGACGACCACAGTTATATACCTAGACCCTCAAAGAAAGTGGTAGAAACTCATTCTTACCTTAGCCTTCAGCCCCCAGATGTCATCGGCTGCTATGTGCCTACATGAGGCGTGTGCTGGCCACATGGAGGATAGAGGGCTCCTGCATGGTTCGTTTCCTAGATAAAATGATCCCCCTTTAGTATTTACCCCCAAAATACAAAAACATGGATCCAAAGGGATGTATGCACCCCTGTGTTTATGGCAGCATTATTTACAATAGCCAAATTAAAGAAACTGCCCAAGTGTCCGCTGACTGACGAATGGATGAAGAAGATACGGCGTATATAACGTTTATTTATTTTTGAGACAGAGACAGAGCATGAGTGGGGGAGGGGCAGAGAGAGAGGGAGACACAGAATCCGAAGCAGGCTCCAGGCTCCGAGCTGTCAGCACAGAGCCCAACGCGGGGCTCGAACTCACGGACCGTGAGATCATGACCTGAGCTGAAGTCGAACGCTTAACCGACCAAGCCACCCAGGCGCCCCGCTACGGCGTATATATACGATGGAGTATCATTCAGCCGTTAAAAAGAATGAGATCTTGGCCATTTGCAGCCACATGGATGGAGCTAGAGAGTATTATGCTAAGCAAAATAAGTCAGTGAGAGAAAGACAAATACCGTATGATTTCACTCATGTGTGGAATTTAGGAAACAAAACAAACGAGCCAAGGGGGAAAAAAAGGAGAGTGACAAACCAAGAAACACCTTCTTAACAATAGAGAACAAACCGGAAGGGATATGGGTGGGGGATGGATGACGTAGGTGATGGGGATTAAGAGGTGACGTATCATGCGCACTGAGTATTGTGTAGAAGTGTTGAATCACTGTGTTGTGCACCTGAAACTAATAGAACACCATGTGAACTCCGTCAGAATTAAAATGAAAACATTCTCCCCTTTTCATTTTTTTCGTTCCATCCAAAGAAAGCCATTCATCCTGGTGCTGGATATGAAGGCATTTCAGAGTACAAGTCAGTGGTCTATTACCAAGTCAAGCAGCCCTCTTGGTATGAGACTGTCAAGGTGAGACGCGCCATTTGTATTCTCTAGCATACATGAGACCCTATTTGGCTTCCTTTCTTCTTTTTATCCACAAATCATGTCTTCTGTATCCTAAAGTTTTAGGTTGCCTGCGGTGTCCTATGAGAAATGAATCGATGCGATTCTGTACGAGAGTATCTCTAACCCTGGATTCTTAAATAACATTCTTACTGATAGATGGGTAGGAATTTGACTGGGGAAGCTTGTAGTTGTAATGATGTAACAGGCTGCCAAGATGGTCCAAAACCAAATGGAAATTTTCACTCTTTGTAAGCCATTGCCTAACATCTTTTTTCTTCTTGGCTTCTAACCAAGTTTTCTGGGCCTCTTCTCAATTTAAATATGTGTATTACAAATTCCCAAGTGCTTTTCAGATAAGTCATCTCCTGTGCGTCGCCTAATAGCCCTCTGGCTGAAACAAGCAGTGTTGCAACACCCTTTCTGATTAGACTCAAAAATGCCAGGTAGACTTTCCAAGATCCTGTAACTGTTTAGTGTCCAAACCTAAATTGGATCCCACTTCTCTTGAATCCCAGGCTCCGTCAGGTCTTTCGGATTGTCAAAGTCTTATGAGCTCTCTATAGAAAACTCAAAAGGAAAAAAAACTGCACTGACATCTCAATTCAGAAGTAACCATTTTCCACAGTTTTATATAATTCATTTGTTTTGGGTTGTGGTGTTTATAACAGGTTTATAGTGTGCTTTTTATTAAAAAAAATTTTTTTAATGTTTATTTATTTAAGGGGGGGAGAGCGAGAGAGGGAGGGAGGGGGAGAGACAGAGCATGAATGGGGAAGGGGCAGAGAGAGAGGGAGACACAGAATCAGAAGCAGGCTCCAGGCTCTGAGCTGTCAGCACAGAGCCCGACGTGGGGCTCAAACCCACAAGCCGCGAGATCATGACCTGAGCTGAAGTCGACACTCAACTGACTGAGCCACACAGGTGCCCCTATACTGTGCTTTTTAAAACTACTTATCTCAAGGGACACCCAGGTGGCTGAGTAGGTTAAACGTCTGACTCTTGGTTTCGGCTCAGGTCATGATCTCATGGTTCGTGGGTTCGAGCCCTGCCCTGGGCTCCACACTGAGATTGAGATTCTCTCCTCTCTCCACCCCTCCCCCACTTGCGTGCTTGCTCTCTCTCTCAAAATAAATAAACTTAAAAAAAAAAAAACTACTTATCTCGAGGCATTGAAAGTTCTTTAGAAATGGATTTCTAGATACTTACGTAATGTTCCGTGATATAATCATGCCATAATTTATTTAACTATCTGCCATAAATTCTCTGCTCTTTTTATGGCCGTGTACTTCTCTTTTCCCCTGTCCCCTCTGTATATGTAAACAGCAAAAGACTCCTTGTCCCCAGCATTTTACCTTTTCCTTCTGTTACAGGCCCTAATTATTACCATATCAGTATACACCTTGCAGGCTGGAAGTTCCTGTATAGACCCCAAGTGCTGATCTTTTTTCCTCTGAAGTATTTCCTCTTTCATATTTGAGAAAGTTCAAGAAACTTGTAATATCCCCATTCTCAGAACCCACAATAGGCAGCGAAGATGGTTTCTCTTGAAATTTTTCTAAGTTTTGACTATAACTAAATCTGCGTTGAACGGAAGCTTCCTCCAAATCTTACTCTATAGGAATTAGTGCTGCAATCAAACACTAAAAATGGGCCTGATTTTCGAAAACAAGCCATGAGTGTAACACATTATGTACATGTAAACTGGAAGTTTTTTTTATTATTATGCAGGTATCCATTGCTATAGAAGAGGTTACTCGCTGCCATATAAGATTTACCTTCCGACACAGATCATCTCAGGAATGTAAGTATCAGAAACTCTAAAATGTGTTTCTGGTGAAATATACATTTAATATACGTGTGTGTGTGTGTGTGTGTGTGTGTGTGTGTGTGTGTGTGTGTATGTCTAAAATGTATTTCTGTTGAAATATACGTATACGTATACATATATATTTACATATATATT